GGTTTTGATGAGAAGGAAGTTCTTACACAAAGTGTTTTTGCAGCTGAAGTAAGCACTTGACAGTAAACAAACGGGAGCTTTCTTTGTAAAATGAACTGCACACTTTTATACTGCAAAAGAATTTTCCCCAAGTATTACTAACCATTTTTTTCCAAGTGTACCAATGAAAGCTTTGTAAACATGGTAAGTTATGTGTATCACAGAATCACTTCATGGTGGAGGTTGGAAGGGACCTCTGGAGATCATCTAGTCCAACCCCCCTGCTCAAGCAGGGTCCTCTAGAGCACATCCTGCCCAGGATCGCCTCCAGGCAGGTTTTGAACACCTCCAGTGAAGGAGACTCCACAACCTCTCTGGGCAACCTGTTCCAGTGTTCAGTCATCCTCACAGGAAAGAAGTTTTTCCTCAGGTTCAGATGCAGCTTCCTGTGTTTCAGTTTGTGCCCGTTGCCTCTTGTCCTGTCACTGGGCACCACACAAAAAGTGTCAGGCCCCATCCTCTTGACATCCTCCCTTTAGATATTGGTATACGTTGATGAGATCACCTCTCAGTCTTCTCTTCTCCAGGATGAACAGGCCCAGCTCTCTCAGCCTTTCCTCATATGAGAGATGCTCCAGTTCCCTCATCACCTTTGTAGCCCTCCACTGGACTTCCTCCAGTAGTGCCATGTCTCTCTTGTACCGGGGAGCCCAGAATTGGACCCAGTACTCCAGGTGTGGCCTCATGTCATGGGAGGCCTGGGAGGGAGCCAACCACAGAGCATCCTGACGCTCTGGTCCCCACAGCACTCCACACTACAAGAAAGGTTTGGGGTGGCGGTATAGGTGTCCCTGTCACTTATGAATGGGTTCACAATTAACGGCCAGAAACAAGCAACAAATCTTAATATGTATCACTGGTAGTAGTAACAATTAAAAACTAGCAATAATAACAACAATAGTAGCAATATACCATTAATTAATTAATCAGTAACCATACACTGAACTCCCCACACACCACAGAACAGGAACAATTACAGTATTTGCAGATACATACATGGGCTCAAACTGGTAAGGGTAAAGGTACCTTTACACCTTTTCCCGGTGGTTACGCCGGGAGGGGAAGGGGAAGGAGGAGGAAGGGACAAGCAGGCCACGCCAGGGTGGGGAATGCTGCTTCAAGCCCGAGGATTAACTAAGCAGGCCGCACCAGGTGCAGCGTGCCACCACCACGCGTGATCTACGAGTGAGCAGGCCACAGCCAAGCCGGTGTGCCGCTTCGGTTACTGCTCCCTGGAGTGGGGAGGGGAGTACTCACGTGTCCGCTGGTGTTAGTAGCGATGGGGGGATGCCTAGCTGCCCGACCCAGCGTCCCAGATCAGGGGGCACAGCGGCACTTGCTGTCCTGCAGCCTGCCGGGGCGGAGATCTTCCTTTGGGTTGGGGGCAGGGAGGGAGGAAGGGAGCCTTGGAAGAAGGCCGCCGAGGCTGCTTCTTCCCCCGCCGCTTGGGGGATTT